GCAGGGGTCTCCAACCTTGGCAACTTTAAGCCTGGAGGACTTCAACTCCCAGCTTTGCTGGCTGGGGAATTCTGGGAGTTGAAGTCCTCCAGGCTTAAAGTTGCCAAGGTTGGACACCCCTTTTATAGGGTGTCTGTCACTAACCCAGACAGATCTGGACAACAATTTGGGGTTCTCCTGGACTTGCAGCTCCTGCTTGAGGAGCAGTCGGCAGTTGCAACTCGGAGAATCTTTTGCACAATTTCACATTGTGCACCAGGTATGTCCGTTCCTGAATTAGGAGTCTCTGCAGCTAGTCATTCAGGCTCTACTCATCTCAGGGTTGGACTACTGCAATGCACTCTCCATAGGGTTACCCTTGAAGACCATTCAGGAGCTACAGATGGTGTAGAGCAGTGGCCCCCAACCTTTTTTGTGCCGCGGCCCGGTACCGGCATCACAAAATGATCCGCGGCCCGGTACCAGCATCAGCACGCATGACAAAGAAAGGCGAGCCGAGCGAACGGCCAGCCAGCCGTCCCGCGCTTCTCCCCGCCACCTTCAACTCCTCCTTTGTACCTTTGTCGATGGGCTTCGCTTCGGGACGGCTTCGGGACAGTTGCTCGGCTCGCCTTGCCTTGGGTGCTGAAAGAATCCTCGCGCCTTAGTTTCGTTCGAAGCCCCCCCCTTCGATGAAACTAAGGCGCGAGGATTCCTTCAGGACCCAAACGCCGCTTTCCAACCGGAAAAGCTCACCCGGAAGCACTTTCTCGTCAAACAAGATGGCGGCGCCCAGCAAACCGGCGGCCCGGTAGGAAATGTTCCACGGACTGATACCGGTCCGCGGACCGGTGGTTGGGGACCCCTGGTGTAGAGGGCAGTGGTGAAGGCAGTTTTTCTTTGGGGGGCAGGGCATGAATGGCTCCTGTAACACCACTGCTCCATGAGCTGCATTGGTTTCTGGTTCGCTTCCGGGTGCAATTTAAGATGATCACCTTTAAAGTTCTTGTCTATGGAGATTCTCAGTCATCCAGGTCATGGTTGTCTCAAAGGTGCTTTTCCAAGAGGCAACTGGACT